TAATCATATGTCTGAGCTCAGAATAAATATCAAAACAAAATAGAATTTTTGCCCATCAACTTGGTCAAGATTAAAACAAAAATCTAGAAATACCTGTATTGGTCAAGGGTATGGGGACATAAATAATTATACACACCTGAGTGTGAACTCATACTTTCCTAAAGGAATATTTGACATTATAGGTCAAGCACTTTAATAATATTGACACCATTATAACTAACCTGGTTTTTTTAAAAATATATTTTATTGATTTTTCACAAAGAGGAAAGGAGAAGGATAGAGAGTTAGAAACATTGATGAGAGAGAAACATCGATCAGCTGCCTCCTGCACACCTACTGGGGATGTGCCCTCAACCAAGGTACATGCCCTTGGCCGGAATCGAACCTGGGACCTTTCAGTCCGCAGGCCGATGCTCCATCCACTGAGCCAAACTGGTTGGGCACTGGGAACAGGGCACTGGCCAGAATAGGCATGGCAACTATAAGAGCACGGAACCTAAAATACATGAGCTCCTGAACAAAGGGAGTTCCCTCTCTTTGCTCCCTGGGACGCTGGTTGCAGGGTGTGGGCTCTCTCACTCAGCACTGTAGGGCATGTGGAGCCCACACACAATGGACTGATGGACTACAACTGCTTATCCCAGTGGTGCCCCCCAAACCCCACTCCCACTAGTATTGGAAAAATTCCGCCCATGAAATTCTCCAATAACAATATGAGGCAACATTTGCAGTTTTGAAACTCCACTTAATGGAAGTTTCTCTAGCCTTCTATAATAACAAAAATAAATCCTTTGTTTCTCTGGAAAATTTTTTCTGAAAGTGTGAAAATTCCACAGAGCAATGACAGGAAATGCTTTGCTAGATCTGATAAAATGCCCTCCATGTGGGCACTGGCATTCAGAGTCTCTATTTCTAAACTGGAAGAGGCACTGGCCTTTTCTTTCTGCCTTCTTCATCCTTTTTTCTCTCTTCTATTTCTAACTACATTGTTGGTGGCATATTTTATTATTTTTTTCTAATTATCTGCATCCCCTTTTCCACCAATGTTATACATCCTACCATTATACTTGGGGTGGGGGAGGGGCGGGCATGTAATTTGTCAACAAAACAAGGGAAGTGAAGTGCATCACATCTGAGCAGACTCTCTAGTAGCTGGAAGTTTGCTGTGCCTGTTTTTCCTTTGCCGTGAGACCAGCTATGTTCCTGATAGGGGCTGTTCGGTCAGGTGTGAAGAGCATGTAGAGTAGAGTCAGCGCTAACTTAGGTAGATAGATATAGTATGAGTGAGAAAAATGCATCTTTCTGTGTAGAACTTCAAAAGGCACAGATATTTTATTACCATAGCATATCCCAGCAAGATTGCTACGGATTCTGAATTCAAATATTAGCTGTGCCAATTTCTGGCTGGGTTCAAATCTGAGTCTGCTCTTCCTATGAAATATTGGCTTTAGTATCTATAAAATGGGATTACTAATGTTATCCAGCTTTTAGGAACATTATGAGGATTAAATGGCTTAAAAGGCTAACTGGGTTATTATTTATAAAGGGATTAGAATAGTGCCTAGCAAGTATTAAAAACTATTAGGGTTTGTTAAATAAATTCATGTGTGTTTTTTGTGTGTCTATGTGTGTAGAACAAAGTCTAGGAAGGTAAACAAGAAAGTATTAATAGTGATTTAAAATTTTTTCCTCCTTTTGTTTAACTACGTCTTCTCGTTTTTCTTCAATGATGTGTATTTCTGGTGTAAATTTAAAAAAATCTATTAAAAAACTCTCAAGTACTTTGCATTGAGAGTCTGTCTAAACAAAGTAATTGTAACTGTATTGCCTTCTTTATTATGATTTCATTATATCACTTCCACAAACACGTGTGATCTATATATATAAAAGGCTAAGTGACTGACCATCAGTCCGTCCAACCAGCTGTACATATGACGTGCACTGGCATTTTAAGAATAAACATTGACTCGTGCTGCGTGATACATATAAAGCTCTCAGAATAGATATTATTAAAATTCCCTGTGAAATGATTTATAACGGATCTATTATTGAAGATACCTTTGGAAATAGTATATCTATAGATAATATTAAAAATATACCTAAACGTGTGATTCTTTGTTCTAAAAATGAGCACATTCGTAAATTAAATGAAATTTTGGATATACTCGATGGAGATTTCACACTTATTTGAGTGATGATTCCATCGATTCAATGGATGATGCCAAAAAGGAAAATTTTCCCATTGAGTTTCTTAATAGTGTTACTCCTTTGGGAATGCCATGTCATAAAATTGAAAGTAGGTGCAATCATCAAGCTACCGAAAATCTTAATAGTAAATGGGGTCTTTGTAATGGCACTAAATTTATTATCAAAAGATTGCGAACTAACATAATCAAAGTTGAAGTATTAACAGGCTCTGCAATAGGAGAGGTTGTTCTGATTCCAAGAATTGATTTGTCCCTGTCTGACACTGGTCTCCCTTTTAAATTAATTCGAAGATAGTTTCCCATGATGCCAGCATTTGTGATGACTATTAATAAATCACAAAGATAAACTCTAGGCAGAGTAGGAATATTCCTGCCTGAACTTGTATTCGGATATGGTCAGTTATATGTTGCTTTCTCTTGAGTTTGAAGAGTGTGTGACATTAAAGGTAAAGTTGTAAATACTTCATCACAAGGGAAATTAGTCAAGCACTCTGAAAGTGTTTTTTTTTCTTAACCGGAGGCCCGGTGCACAAAATTCGTGCACTTGGGGGGGGTGTCCCTTAGCCCAGCCTGCACCCTCTCCAATATGGGACCCTTTGGGGGATGTCCAACTGCCGGTTTAGGCCCGATCCCTGATCTTGCTCCCAACTGCCCTCCCCTGTAAGCCCAGTTGCCCCTAACTGCCCTGCCCTGCTGGCCTGGTCACCCCTAACTGCCCTCCCCTGCAGGCCCGGTTGACCCCATCTGCCCTCCCCTGCAGGCCTGATTGCCCACAACTGCCCTCCCCTGCTGGCCATCTTGTGGCGGCCATCTAATGACCACATGGGGGTGGTCATCTTGTGCAAGGCTGTGATGGTCAATTTGCATATTACCTCTTTATTATATAAGATGTGGTATACAGGGAGATATTAGAATAAGTTTAATCAATTTATCAGTCATTGTTTTTATCAATGTTTTTATATCATTTTTTTAAAAATATACTTTAATGATTTTTTACAGAGAGGAAGGGGAGATAGAGAGTTAGAAATATCGATGAGAGAGAAACATCGATCAGCTGCCTCCTGCACACCCCCTACTGGGGATGCACCTGCAACCAAGGTACATGCCCTTGACCGGAATCGAACCCGGGACCCTTCAGTCGGCAGGCCGATGCTCTATCCACTGAGCCAAACCGTCCAGGGCGTTTTTGTTGTTTTTATATCATGTTTTTGTTATTGTTATATCATGTTGTTATTATTTATTTATTAATCAATTTATATATTATTTTCATATACATTTTACTAATTTTCTTTCATTTCTGAAACTTCTATTATAGAGAATGGCAAATAGCAATATTAAAATATTTCTTCTAATTAATTTCCTTTCAATGTGCATGAATCCATGCACTGGGCCACCAGTTTTATTATAAAAGTCAATAGAAAAACAGGTATCAGTATGTGGAAGTTCTATTAATGTTAATTTTCTTGAACAATAGAGTAGGTAACACTTGTAGCCAAAATCCTGAGAATGAGATTAAATGTTTAATTATTATTATTCCTATGACATTTTGTATGTGTGCTCTGAAAATGTCTTGATTTCTAGTATCATTGAACCTTGTCTCCCTAAATAAGATAAACTTGTTGAGTCATTAACGATTATACCCCTGCTTCCCTGAGCCAGGCTCAAAAGCCAATGAACGATGAGCTCTGGCTTCTAATATTACAACCTTGAGGCAGACCAGTGAGGAGCAGCTTTGCTTTTTATGGACAAGGGTCGGGGTGAGATTGGGTCATTTTCTGGGATTGTTGTCATTACAACAAACTTTTTGCTGCCTACATCTAACACCTTTTATCTTCCCTGCTAAGAAAAAGCCTTGCAAGGATTTACACACAAAAATCATGATCCAAGAGGAATCATTAACACCCATGTCTTTGCCTAGCTACAGCCACCACAGCCAGAGAATCCCATGACTGAGAACAAGGATGGGAGAACAGAGGGGTCACGTGCCTTTTTATTCTCTATATTCATCATATGGGCTTTTGGTGGGGGGCAGCTCTTCGAGTACCTGGGAGGATGCAGAAGACTGCTCTGATGGTGCACATTCTATAACAGGTACTCCAGGGAAGTCAGGAAAGGTTTTCCCTAGGAGGAAAAATTAAAAACTGAAGACTGAATGAGATTAAGCCAGTGGGAGGGATAAGAAGAGGCTTATTTTTGGGTGGTGGGAACAGCATGTAAAAAGCTCAAAGTAATAGCATTAAAACTATGAGGCTGAGTGACCGACCCTATGTCTGTCTTACTGCCTGACCGACCAGTACATATGACGCGCACTGGCAATTTAAAAATAAACGTTGACTTGCGCATGCATGATACATATAAAGCTCTCACTGGCGCCAACTGCACGTGTGTGTTTCGATCTGTCATTGCCTATCATGAATTTGATTGTTTTTGTTGACATTCTGAAGCTGAAAGAAAGCAGCATGGTCGACAGAATATGCCTGAAGACCAACTATTGGCAAAACGTACCTCTGAATCCGAAAGAAGCCTGCATCGTCGACAGAATGTACCTGAAATATTTTTTCTAATTAATTTCCTTTCAATGTGCAAGAATCCATGCACCCAGTCACTAGACAAATAATTATAAAGTAGTTACACTGAAAATTATAAACTCTGCTGAGAGTAATTAAAGAAGAATTAAATAAACACATGATAAGATGTATTATGTTCCTGGATGTAAAAACTCAATAGATACATTTACTAAATGTAACAATCTATAACCATAAAGTTTCTATAAGATACCAGGAAGAATCTTCATAACCTTAGAGTAGGTAAAGATTTATTAGAGAGAACACACAAAATATTTGATTATAAAAATGATATGTTAGGCTTTATGAAAATTGAAACATTCATCATGAAAATGAGTAGGTAAGCCACAGACTGGGAAAAATATTCTCAATACATATATCTGACAAGACTCATATCCAGACCATATAAAGAACTCTTATAAATCAACAATAAAAAACCCAATTGACCTAATTTTACAAATGAGCAAAAGACTTGAATAGACACTTTACAAATGATGCTTAACATCACTAGTCATCAGAGAAATGAAAATTGAAACCATGATGGAATACCATTTCATATCCACCAGAATGGTTAAAATAAAAAAGACTGACAATATCAAATGTTGGAGAGAGGGCTTAGAGAACTAGAACTTTCTTATGTTGCTGGTGGGAATATAAAATGGTAAAACTACTTTGGGAAATTGTTTGGCAACTGACATTCATTTATTTAATGACCCAGCAGTTCCACTACTAGGTATGTATTCAAGAGACACAAAAATATATATCCATAAAAGGATTTGTACAAGAACATTCACAGGCTTCATTCATAATATCCTCAAAATGGAAACAATCCAAATAAATACAAACAGGAGAATGGGTAAACACATTTTGATACATTTATATAATGGAATGCTATGTAGCTGTAAGATTCTTCTTACAGCTACATAGCATTCCATTATATAAATGTATCAAAATATATCAATAATGTGAATATTTTTCAAAAATACTGTTGAGCAAAAGAAGTCAGATACAAAAGACTACATACTAAATGACTTGATTTAGTTGAAGGACAAAAATAGGCCGGACATATGAAGGGTGATAGGATGAGAGAGTGGTTGCAGTTGGGGTGAAGGATATTGAATTGAAAGGGATGCGCGAGAACTTTCTAGGCTGATGGAAATGTTCTATAGCTTATTGGTGGCAGTTGCACCGTGTACACAGCTGTCAAAACCTCTCGAACAAAACACTTAGAATCTGTTATTTTACTGTCTATAAATTATACCTTAATTTTTAAAAAGGCGAGGATAAAAGCATAGCGTGTTTATAGGTGCAAAGAGTACACCCCCCAACTCCCATAAATTTTTCCTGTATTTTAACCCACAGTGATAAAAGAGTTATTTACTAAACACCTTTCTCCTCACGGTATGTCATACAGAGTTGAAACCATCAACAATAATGAATTAAATTGTATCTGAAATGGAATAGCTTAGGATATGTAACAAAAAAAAAAAAAAAAAAAAAAAAGCAGACTGTGAAAGGACATGCCATCCGTCCTTAAAAACTTTGGCTGGTGGAATAAGAATTTGGGTAGAGAGAACTATTCAAATAAGCTTATATATGTATACTTCTCCCACCTCTGATTTATACTCAATAAGTTAAACTCCTCAAATATGACTGATATCTGAAAAACAAATCCTGTGACCATTATGATATAAAGAACTTAACTAATTCAGTAATCTTTTTCATAGTCTTGAAAATAATGGATCTTCAATAATTAATTAATGTAGTTACTGATTAGTTAGAATTTATGTCCAAATTATATATGCCCATAATGGAAAATATACTACAATTATATTATAATGTCTTCATATAAAATGTTTGAACCAGAGATGATTTCATTAGGCCATTTATGGGAGTATATTTAAATTGAGTATATGAAATAAGGTACAAATCCAACTCACCCCAGCTTAAAAGTTTAATCATTCTGTAATTACCTGACTAGATTTTTTAAAAAATGATAGAAAAAGTACTATTGTTAGACATATAAAGCAAACACACAAACCCCACTGAGTCGAATTTTGGCCTCCACTGGGGTATCTACGTGATTATAAAGGCTACACGTGCATTGTTTTGAATTGAACACCACATTAGCCAGATCAGAAAAGCTGTGAACTGAGAAGGAAATTGTTATTCCAGCGATGGAACCTCAACTAGAGAGTATTATTCTGCTGGCAGCCGGGACTTCAGCGCATTCTCACTATGAAAACCAGTGGCTTTTAATCACACATTATAAAAGCATTTGCGATGCTCTGCAGGCCGCCTTTCTTCAAAGATTTCCTTGCTGCTTTCCTTCCTGAGCACAATAGGTTCAAGATGGCTAATGCTGTTTCCTACTTGTGCCAAGAACCTCCTGAATGCCACTGGGCTTTCATCATGAAGACAAATGGCAAAACATCAAATGGGAATATCTCATTCTAAATGGGGACGCCGACGATCATGTTATTTTTGGGAGAGCAGCTCTCTGGCTCCATGGATATCACTTGAACGGAGTAGCCATGCTCTTCTGCAGCTCTTGCTCGGTCCAGATCCACCAGGCACATGCACTGCTTTCCTGAAATACAGCCCAAGGTATCATGAGATACAGTCCAGTTAACAATGTCATTTCAATTCATTTAAGGGACCCTATACAGTGACACAATCTATAGGTGTATGGAGAATGCTGTTTGCCCCCACGTCCTGTTTAGTGTCTCTTTCCATTTAATTCTTGATCAGTATGGAGAGAAAACAATGACAAATGTATAACATGTCTGAGATTTGTTTCCACTAGTAATTTAAATCATGTTAACCTTCTAAAATATGTTTATAAATAAATCTCAAATAAAAACTACAGATTCTGTTTCCCACTTTGATTAAAAATCAAATGTGCACCCCCACCCAGCACACCAGTGATGTCTTCTCTGAGTCTGGTGAAGTTATATAAAGACCTTTCCTCTTCATACCCTATGAGAACACATCATCTGTCATACTGTGAAACAAACAATATCTGCTTTTCATATCTAAAATGACATGCAAACAGAGAGCCATCTGAAAGAATGCTGCAGTTTGCACCTGGAGTTTTTAGGACAATAAGGAAGTAAGAAATAGAAAATATTTTTGAAAATTCTAAATTGTGTGCTGATTATTTCAGGTAGATGTGTAATGCTGAGTGTAATATAATGCTAATTTTCAGAGCTCCTGTACGCATATGAAATAGTGGTATTCAATTTTCTTTGTAACCTTTGCAAAACAAGAGGAAACCTGACTGGCAAGTAAAGCAGTAAATTTGTGTTTGTTTGGCAAACTTCTATTTCAAAAGTAGCCCAGGAAAAAAATGATTTGGGGTTGAATATATTAAAAGTTATGGCTTTTAGACTTTCAAGTTCTTTATTTTCAGAAAAAAGGTTATTGACTCCATAGAATTTCATTCCATTTTTCCTCAATAATTATAATGATACCTAAGCATTATTTCTAATGGATGTATTTAAAAGGCGGCTGATTCTGCTAAACGAAAGCTTCAGAAGTGAAGACAGAAACTGAAATGGAACAGTTCTTCAGTGGAAGACAGAAGAAGCCTCACAGAAAAACTGGAAGGTGAAATCAGTAGGAAGAATTGGCAACCAGAGATTCCATTTTAAAATATTTTGTATATTTTCCTTAAAAGGCTCATGCCAAAAAAGATTAACTGTCTTAGAGTGATATAAAGAAAGATGTCTAGGATTCCATTTAGGCTAAATCACCCCTCTTCATCAACAGCCAGATGGCTAACTTTTCCCCCTTAAACTATGGTTCCTCCTCTAAGACTTCTGTAAATGCCCCCTCCCACCTCCATCTACTTTTCAACTTAAATGAAACATTCTCTGTCAGATGGGATGCCCTACATTCCTTCAGTACCCACCCTGGGTTTACACCACAGCTCATTTAGCCTTGGCTTTGATCCCTGTCCAGAATCTCATGTTCACATGTTGAGGCAGTATCTTTACAACTGAAATGCAGTTGTTGGAAGTCTACCTTTTAGGGTCTGGGAAGCTTCCTAAAATGTTCACAGGACAAAAGTATGACCTGTGCAAAGTACAGATGTAGACATTGGATGGAGTCTGACTTTGAACCTGACTTTCCCGCTCTTCCACTAATCACTCCAAATGCTTCTCGTCCTTAACTAGCAGCTTCCCTTCCAGCCACTCCCTTCCAGTTTAATGCCTGAAACGTCACCATGTGCACCCCCACCCAGCACACCAGTGATGTCTTCTCTGAGTCTGGTGAAGTTATATAAAACGTAATTCATATATATGTAAATTAGACCTCAGTATGTATATTGGACTATACATCAAATGTACATTCAACTAACTCAAAGTGTTGGAATGGGAAAAGGAGGAGGAAGAGGGGAGGAGGAGGAGAGAGAGAGGTGGCAGGCAGGAAGGAGCAAGCTTTTTTCCATGTTTATGCGCCAGAGTGTGAGAAAGAGAAGGAAACCACTTGTTCCTTCAGCTTCAGGTCTCCAATGCCTCTCCACGGTGGCTACCTTGCTATGCTGACTTCGACTGTAGAGTTTAATGGCAACTAGTTCTCATATAACACGGCCCCTGATGAAAGCTAATGATTCCGTCTGGCACTCGGCCGAAGAAACGTAATCTGTTTTCCAGACCAGGATGGTCTCCAACGTGGGGCTTTTCTAAGTAATTGTTAAGACTAGTTTGGATTCTACTCAGTCATTGGAAGCCCTAACTCTGGACTCCATCACTGGTGGGCAAAAATGGACCAGAGCTTCATGGCTGGAATCAAATAATTTGGGTTCATAGGGTGGCTCTGACATCTACCGGATGAAGGAGCCTGGGCAAGTTTTTGTCTCAGTTCTCTTGTCTCTAAAATATAAATAGTAGTATGTGCACATCCCATAGGTATTTTATAAGAATTTACTAAGATAATGGGTGGAGGGCACTCAGCACAGTGTTTAAATGTTCAATAATTGTTAGCTGCCATTGTCCTTCTACATGTCATTTCTTTTCCTAAAGCAAAGTCTTGGATACATTTATCACTTAAACTTGAAATGCCATGGTAGGCGTTTCCATTTAGGCAATATTTAACATTATAAATGTCAAACATATTGGTCTATGATTAATAATATACAAGCATCTCTTTTTTTCCGAGAAGGACATTACCATCCTTGTTCATACGTTTTCAATCCATCAGTTTTGGTGCGCATAGTTGATCTTTTTTATTTTCTTATGGGGCTTTTGGTAGGTCCTTCAGTTTGTTCGTAACAGTAAGAAAGATCTAACAATAATGCTACTCAATGTACAAACATTAAAAATGTATTTAACTTAAAAGTATTATTAACAAAAGTGGGATAAAGCGTTGTTATTGTTGCAAAGCCTTTTTCAATATGGATCAAGTTTTCTGGGGGAAATAATGTTTAGTTTCTTGTTGATAAATGAACCAATTTTTCCCGTACAGAGTCGCTCCATTCATTCCTAGGCCTGCGGTACGTAATCTGCTCAGCAGCTGCGGTGAAAACACATACCTACGAGCCTTCGTTGGGGTGGAAGCTGGACAGCTGTCTGATCTGCAAATCGGCACAGGATCATGTGTTCCTAAAAGAGAAAGCAATAGAATGCGGGTTTGTTTTAACCTTTTGCTTCAAAATTAAACATATTTTTTAAAACGACCTCATTTTTCTAGAGTTCTACATTAACTGGATAAAGCGCTGCACAAACAGTACTTCTGAAATAAGCACATCGTCAGAACACAGTGCTCAGATCCTCGTTTCCCTCAAGTGGACAGCTCTACATCTGAAGGGCTGTCTCGGCAGCAGAGGCACGGAAGATGCTCAGGGCCATTTAACAGCTGCTTTTAGCAGAAATATACTTACAATTGGTGATTATAGAATGTTAAACTAGAAGACCTAACGTTCATTTACATTTTTCCTTTAATGAAATTTGAATCTCAGAAACATGGCTCCAAAAACACCTTCTAAGCAGCGTTTCTTCCTACTACCAGAGGAAAGGAAGCGCTGCAGAGGATCACGGTGGCTTCTGTCTTTCTCCAGGGACCCAGCACTCCGAGTGCTGCTACTCCCCACCCTCCCCTCTCTCTACCCTTTGCTCAGTCCCCACTCTTCCCTGGCTCACTCACTCTCCTCTCGCTCCAAATGCTGCAGGAGGTGTACCTACTTCTGCTTTAAGAGGAACCATAAAGTGGATCTGAAGGAATGGGAAGGAAAGTATTGCTTCTGCTTAACAATGTCAGGGAAGGTGCATTCATAAAAAGAGAAGGCTGCGCAGTGGTTCTCAACCTTGGCTGCACATTAGAATCACCTGGGCATCTTTTTAAAACCCTGATTTCTAGGCCTCATTCTCCGGAAATTCTGTTTCTTTGTTATGGGGTGAGGCCACAACATTAGTAACAAAGAAACAGAATTTCTGGAGGATGAGGCCCAGAAATCAGGATTTTAAAAAGATTCCCAGGTGATTCTAATGCGCAGCCAAGGTTGAGAACCACTGCTTCAGAGGGATGAGAGCTGATGAGTCTGCACAGCACTCTGAAATCCGCAAGTAGCCAAAGGTGAGTGATTCCTTGCAGTCAAGATGACTGCAGTGCTCCCAGGCAACTGTTCATTCAGAACAGCTGCACTTTAGTGTGTAAATGATCTCACCTGTCAGCTTAGCCAACCGGTGGAACTCAGCTTCATCACCTGTCTCCTTGGTCTTCTGTACATTCAATTTGCAGCCTCCATTTTTAAATAAGCTAATTGAAATGAGTGCAATGCTGGGTCTTTTAGAAGGGTTAACTTTTTCTCAACTTTAATGCATTTGAAAAAACATTTCAATGCTCACTGTAACATTTAGTGGCAATGTCTAGAGTACTAATAAGATGGTTCAAATAACTTTTATTAAGTTTCCGTAAGTCAAAAAGGGGCAGAAGAATTTAGAATTATATAACATGAAAAGGCAAGAAAAAGCATACCCTTTGTCCTCATGATGTTTGTAAATTAAGATTCATTTTAAATATACAGTGGGGCCTTGACTTACGAGTTTAATTCGTTCCGAGACTGAGCTCGTTAAGGAGCTCGTTAACTCAAATTACTCTGTCAACTCAATGCAAAAAATCGGCAGAGAGACAGCTGGTATCTCAAAAAACTTGTTAGTTGGGACATTCGTAAGTCAAGGCCCCACTGTAAGTATATAGGTAATACTGAGGCAATCCCAACCTCAGATGAGGTTTGTTTCTATGTGTTCTCTCCTGTAGAAGTTAAAGACCAAAAGGGTGAGGCACAGAGTAGGTACTCACATGGAGTAGAACATGGAGGAAAACATTTCTAAAGTGACTCTCAAGAGATTGGGGCACTAAGTCCATGTAGTTCTGTCTGCCAGCCCACCCATCATGTAGTTCTGTCTGCCAGCCCACCCATCATGGTTAAGTTAGGAAATACTGAGGTACCATCTTGCCACAGTATTCAAGAAGACTTCTCTATAGAGCATTTACATCTGAGACCCTCAAAAAGACTGGTGGCCAAGCAGCTTTGGGGGCTGTGGGAGAAAGAGGTGATAAAGATGAACTTTCTGCTCTCTGGAAGAGCCTGGGTGCCCCGCCTCTTTTACCTCTAGGAATTGTTCTTTCCTTTCTAGGCAGTAAGATTGTGGCACCTGACTTCACTTCCCCCGGCTTCTGCTATACATTCTCTCAGAGTTTGCTCTACCTAGCATCACTCAAGGAGGGATTAGAACAAGCCTCTCGTTTTTGGTTATTTTTCAATTCATTTTCTACTTTATTAGCAGAGTCTTGGGAGAGTAAGGTGAGGTGTTTTGAATCTTATGAAAATAAAATTCCTGGGATACTAATTTTGCCCCCAAATCTTATAGTTCCCCAGGATATGAAAACTTAAATCCTGTACGCAAAGATGAGGAAAGTGCCGATTCTGAATAAAAACATGAACACAAAAGTTTCTCTCTTCTCCACAGGTTCTGTGTATATGGGTGGGCAGAGGTGGGGGGTTGGAGAGAGGTGAGAGGTAGGAGACAGAGTTGGAGCTGGGCATTTAAGAGGAACAGGTGGAGGAGATATAGGTGCCAAGGTGGTAGAATGAACATTTTTAGGTCACTGCACCGATTTCACTGTTGGAAAGAGAAGAAGGTAAAATTCGTAGAAGGCAAGGCTGCTCTATAAAATGATACTATATATTTTAGTGAGTTTTTGCCGGAAGTTAAATTAACCAAACTAAAAATCCAATCTAATTTATCGACTTTTAATAGGATTATTTATGCATTTCTCTCAAATATGATCATTTCTTAGATTATATTATGTCATGCTATTGATCATTTAATTAGTTAGTAGCGATGTTCAGAAAGCTAGAAACTGGGGCTTTTAGTCAAGAAGGTGGCATAGGTAAGTGCTGTACTTGCATCCTACAATAACCACATCAAAATATAACTAAACTACAGAATAGCTATCATTCAGAACTGCCTGTAATCTCCCTGAATGAAAATCCTACAACTAAAGATATAAAGAAGAAGCCACAACAAGATTGGTAGGAGGGTTGGAGACTCAAAATGGGCTGTAGGACCAGCTACACCCATGTGTGGGGGATAAAAATTGGGAGGTGGGCACTATATCTGAGTCTCCATCAAACTGGCTATCACTGTTCACCCTGGCCTAGTGACTCCCTGATACACCACCTCACCAACTTGTAGGCCCACCCATGCTGTTTCCAGTGGCTTTCCCATATGAATAGCATGTCTTGGCTCATGTTTCAGACTTTCCTAAAATCTTTGTAAAACACAGCATCTGGCCTCAGCATGCCCTGTACCTCTTGCTAAATGGCTCCTGGTCCAGCACTAGCAGCAGTTGGCTTTGGTTTTCAGCTTGGCCTCTCCTGGGCACCACCAACCTCCAAGCCCAGCACAAGAAGCAGCCACCTGCAGATCACTATGTAGCTCACGCCTGGTGGCTCTGGGAAGAACACAGGTGGTGGCTGACTACACCTTTGACTACAACTCCTGGGAGGCCCCAGAGCCAGCACACCAGGTGGACAGCTTCAGACCATATTGAAGCGCCACCCAACCACCTCCACAAGTGACAAACTCAAGGGGTTGGCTCAGCAGGCACCTGGGCCCTGCTGGAGTAAGTTCTGCTCCATGGGTGCACCCCTGTACAGTTGATCCTCTATGGTGGTCACAACCAGTCCTTGCAGCTGATCATCCTGGGGGTAAATCCCTCCCATTGATATGCCAACAGAAATCAAAACTCAACAACAGGAGGTGTACACAGTCCACCTGGTGGTTGGGGGTACACCTGGAGTACCCAGTGCCAGTGAATGGGGAGGCTGTACCACTGGACCCTACAGGACACCTACTACATTAGGCCACTCTACCAAGCTCAGAAGATACAGCAGCTCTACCTAATACATAAAGCAAGCACAGGGAGGTGGCCAAAATGAGGATATGAAGAAATGTGTCCCAAATGAAAGGCCAGAACAAAATTCCAGGAAAAGAACTACACAAAATAGAGACTAGCAATCTACTAGATGCAGAGTTCAAACACTGGTTATTAGGATGCTTGATGAACTTAAGGGAAGAGTAGATGAACTTAGAGAGATATTAAATTGCATAAAAAGGACATGGAAACCATGAAAAAGAAACAGTCAGAAATGATAGATACACTAAACCATGAAAAAGAAACAGTCAGAAATGATAGATACACTAACTGAAATGAAGAGTAATTTACAGGGAATCAACAGGAGAATAGATAAAGCTGAGAATCAAAACGGTGATTTGGAATACAAAGAAGCAAAAAAAAAAAAACAACAACAACAAAAAAAAAAACCCATAATCAGAACAGCAAAAAAAAAAAAAAAAGAATCTAAAAAAAAGTGAGGATAGTGTAAAGGGTCTCTGGGACAACTTCAAATGTACCAATACCGCCCTAGCCGGTTTGGCTCAGTGGATAGAGCGTCGGCCTGCGGACTGAAGGGTCCCAAGTTCGATTCTGGTCAAGGGCATGTACCTTGGTTGCAGGCACATCCCCAGTAGGAGGTGTGCAGGAGGCAGCTGATCGATGTTTCTCTCTCATCAATGTTTCTAACTATCTCTCTCTCTTCCTCTCTGTAAAAAATCAATAAAATATTTAAAAAAACAACAACAAATGTACCAATATCTGCATCATGGGGGGCAGGAGGGAGAAGAGAGAGGGGAAGAAATTGAAAACCTATTTAAAACAATTAGGACAGAAAACTTTCCTAATCCAGTGAAGGAAATAGACATACAAGTCCAGGAAGTGCAGAGTCTCAAGTAAGATGAACCTAAAGAGGCCCTCACCAAGACACATCATAATTTAAATGCCACAGGTTAAAGACAAAGAGCAAATCTTAAGATAAAAGCAGTTACCTACCTACAAGTGAGCTCCCATAAGACTGATTTCTCTACAGAAACTTTGCAGGCCAGAAGGGAGTGGCAAGAAATATTCAAAGTGATAAAAACTAAGGACCTACAACCAAGATTACCCTACCCAGCAAAGCTATAATTTAGAATTGAAGGACATATAAAGAGCTTCTCAGACAAGAAGGAGAAGGAGAAGGAGGAGGAGGAGGAGGAGGAGGAGGAGGAGGAGGAGGAGGAGAAGGAGGAGGAGGAGGAGGAGGAGGAGGAGGAGGAGGAGGAGGAGAGGAGGAGGAGAAAGAGAGAAAGAGAGAGAAACATGAACAATAAAATGGCAATAAAGACATATCTATCAATAATTGAATGTAAAAAACAAACAAGCAGAACAAAAACAGACTCATAGATACAAAGAACATTTTGATAGTCAACAGATGGGAGGGGAGTTGGGTGAACATGTGAAGGGATGAAGAAGTACAAATTGGCAGTAACAGAATAGTCATGGGGATGTAAAGTACAACAACACAGGGAATATGGTCAGTATTATTCTAATAACTATGCCTGGTACAAGATTTATCGGGATGATCACTTAGTAAGTTATATAATATCTAATCACAGGGTTGAACACCTGAAACTAGTGTAATATTATATGTCAATTATAATTGAAAAATAAAAAAAATTTATTAAAAAAAAGCAAGCTGGAAACTGTTCCGCTCAGGTTGGCAACTCAGAACTGTGTAACGTGCTGACCACCATTGGGAAACAATTCTCTGCGGGGCTCCTGTGTGTCTTCATGTCTGTGAGCAGAGGCACTGCCTTTGTTTCAGATCAGGGGTTGGCAAACTATGGCCCACAGGCCAAATCCAGCCTATGACCCGATTTGGTGCGGCTCAAACATTAAGATTATTTTCTTATATTTTTAAAGGGTTGTAAACTTACAACAAAGACAAGGACAATGTAGAATATGTGGAAGATTTGTAAGTGGCTGGCAAAACCTAAAATATTTACTTTTACTGATAATTTTGTCTCTCTTCCAGATTATCCTTTTAAAGATGTTTGTTTAGGAAACAGCCTTAGAAACTATATAGTGTCTTCTTCCAGAGTAAAGGGCAGGCATTCTTACTTAAAGATTACATCTTAAAACATTTGGGTTTCCTAAGCTCAGGTTTCTTTTCCTGTAATGCAACTCACTGTGTGTGTATAAGTGTTACCTGGCTCTTTTTGTGCTGCCCTGTAGGCACTGAGCCTCAGGAAGTCAGTGCAAAAATGATAGTCTGGCTACCCCCATCACTGTGAGCAATAGCTGTGTTTGTCGCTGACATAGGAGTCTCCTGTCTTCTCTCAGCTTCCATGAGACTGTGGTAGGCTAACTAGTTGGCTTGCATCCAGGGTAAATGCTCAGACCATTTACAAAAACTTGTCAACTATGTAAAGATTAACCTTGATTTCAATAAGAAATTCCACATTAGATGTTCATGAGTAATTAAAATATAACTATACTGTAGATTATATACTTTATTAGAAATCTGAGAGGAAAATATATAAAAAAGATAAAAAGTATATTAAGAATACATCTAGATCTTTAAAGGTTACCTTGTATGATAAAGTTTTCTTAAATTGTTCACTGAAATATAAAAGAAAAAGAAATTAGTCATAATTTAAAATACCAAATATTAAGAATAGAAATAGTCTTGAAGGAACTAAAATTTTATTTAAATTATAATTTAAAAAAAATATTTTATCTGAAGAGTATGTAATGCTATCCTGAACTAAAAACTATGTCAGTTTGAAATGACTTTATATAAAGGCAAAACATACCATCAATTTGTTATTAATTACAAACAAGTTATTTCAAAGATTGTTTATACTATTAGAGAAGCACAGTCATTTTTTTTCTCTTCCCCGCATGAGTGCCCACAGATTTAATCTGTTTTCAAATGAAAGTTTTATTGTTAGTCAGGAGCAGAGGGTCCAACAGATCAGGAGGGGGCTGCCATTGAAAAGACAGTTTATTCCTCACAGTTCCCAAGAGGAGGGGATGACATGTCACGACGCAGGGCCACAGGGGAAGCACCAGGGGTCAGGAGGCAGAGGGAATGAGCCTTTATTGCAGATTCCCTGGGAAGGCATGGCAAGGCAGGGTGCACACGCTTAGGATTGGCCAGTGTGAATAATGTGAGCAATCTCTGGGGCACAGGGGCTTTCCGTAGTTGTCTGCTACCTGGCCTTGGAGTGATTAGGGCAGGGGCATAGTGACCCTGGAGTGGTTCTCCAATGACAAAGGGGGCAAATGTCAGTATATCTACAGAGATGTGATTGGCAGCTTTAAGTTGAGACTTTAAAATCAGTTAAGTGAGAGTGCAGGCTGAGCAACTCAAATTAGCATTCTTAAGAATCTTTCTATTGCTAGCCTTAAATTTCTTGGTGTGTTATAAAATATGCATTTTATCTAAGTAGATTTAGAATAACATGAAATTTCAGCTATTGAACAAGCTGCAAGTTATAGTCTATTTTTGGCTTGTCCAGAGTTCCTTCATTTTTTTCTCAATTAGTTGCAAATTGTAGTAAAGAACAAAACAATGGAAGACAAAAATAAGAAGGCTATTATTTTTACTTTTAACTCTAAATTATGTAGGTAAGAAGCTTTTAAGTATAAATACTAATAAAATTAAATTATAAAACTTCTTAAAAGTAATGATGCAAATGATCAAGAAATCATTTTTGACACATTATAGGATAAACTTCCAAAGCTAACATATTGAATCTGTTCTATAGTTACAATGATTGGCATGATTCTCAATAACTATGGCTTAGAGAGTGAAATGCCATACACACCAAAGGAGTGGCCCTCCATTAGGCTGAGTTAAAGGGAAGAGAATCAGAATGTCACCCCGACTATGTGGGATAAGCAGCACTGCAAAAATGGCTGTCGAACTTGCAGACTAATCATCACGATCCATGGGCAGTATTTAAAAATACTGCTGCTACTACTGTAACTAGCAACAGCTTATATTAATTAAGTGTAAATTCTATGGTGGCTTCTAAGGGCTTTACATAATATCATTCAATTCCCACAAAAACCATGAGGTCATTTACTATTATCACCTCCATTTTGTAGACGAGAAAATGTAGGCAAAAAGAGTTTAAGTAAGTTGCTTGAGGTGAAACAACTTATAAAAGAATGAGGAGCCAATATTTGCACCAGGAGAAATACTTCCAGGCCCTAAGCACTTAACCACCACACCTCCTGCCTCTCATAGGGAATGAGTTCCATTCAGAAGTACACAGAGAAGTGCTGAAGCCGTAAGACTTCTGGTCGTCAGACTCCTAAACAGACTTGCTTCTAAATTTCTGCAAGAGCTTGATCCAGGAGAAAAATCAAGGGCAGACATCGGGGAGACCCGCTCTTCCTTGTAAAACATAAACAGTACTTGCCATTGTGGAAAGAGGAAAAGAGCGCATAACTGAAGTCTCATTACAACTTTATATCAAAAGAGTAGTGTGCATTGGTTTAATCCCCATATTCGTGCCTTAAGTAGAACACTGACTTTCACCTTTTTGGAAAATTGAACTTGGAGGTGTTCTGAATGAAACCGTAACAGCAAGGGCACGTGACGAAGGCAGCCCGTGTTTGGATGCAGTGCTCAATCACCATGTCTGTTGCCACTCCACAGGCATGCAATGCCACCTGGAAAACAAAATCAGACCTTAGCACCAAGTTCTTTCTAACAGTGCTATTTTTGTGCCTTTTAAAGATACTTTTGGTGAGAATCCTCAAGAGATTTCAAATTACCGGAATACAGTAGGTCCTCAGGTTATGTCAGAGATCTGTTCCTATGGAGCAATGTAATGTGATTTTCGCACCTACATAAGCACCTACTCACATGGAGCACATACCCAGCAGTAATGAAGTGAAACAGTAAAAGAAATTTAAAAGAAAGATAACAATTCCTGACCTTTACTTGTGGTAAATAAATGATAAAAAACATAAAGCACATATGTACATACGTCGAAATGATGGAACTTTTTTTTTTAATAAATAAATGAGAGATGGTGACGTAACCACAAAATGATACATCAAGTTCGACGTAACCCGAAGACTATCTGTATTATTCCATAACTAGACGCCCAGCGCATGAAATTCGTGCACGGGTACGGTCCCTAGGCCTGGCCTGCGATCAGAGCCATCTTCCCTGGCTGCCTGCAGCTAGCCCTGCCCCCTGCCACCACCCACCCCCTGTTCCCCGTTTGCCATTGGGCAATTGGAGCCTGATGGCCAGGGGAAGGGACCAAGAGGTCAACCGTTCCCACCCACTTGCTGGTCCCGCCCCCGCCGCAGGTTGCCCTCTGTATGTGGGGCGATTGGTGGGGCAGGGGCCTTGGCCTAGTGCCACCTACGTCCCCTGCCACCCACCTCCATCAGGGGAAAGAGACCAAGAGGTGGTCAGTGCACCTCATAGTGACTAGTTGAGCGGTCATTCTGGTTGTTCCGCTGTGAGGGTCAATTTGCATATTACCCTTTTATTATATA